GGTATAAAATTTCATTTTAATTTTATCATCAAACATTATTAAACTAAGACATCATATACATTTTCTGATCATAGGTACAAGGGTAAAAAGATTTCAAGGAAAGATATATATGGAGATAATGATGAAGATTCCAGTTCACAAGGCACATCAGAAAGTGAAAAAGAAGGAACAGACAATTTAGAACAGGAAAGCAATGACGATATGAATAATAGTAGTGATGAAGAAGATATCAGAGATAATGACAGTGACATCGAGGATAATGAAAGCAATGATTCAAACGAAGAACTGAGTCATGATAATGAAACGAATGTAGAACAAAATTCGGAACATGATGATGAATTCAATATCAAGGATAAAGACAATGATGGTACCTCTTTTGCAAAACAAAGAAAGGATATTCAGACAATATCGCAAACAAATGTGAGATTAGACATAGAAAAAGGAACTTGTGTTAGAAATCAGTTAAAGCTTTGGGAAAATTTGTTGGAAGTAAGAATAAAGTTACAAAAGTGTTTAGTTACGAGTAATCAAATGCCTCAGCATGATGTTTACCAAAATTTTAAGATGAATACAGAATATACAAAAACAGCTGATGAAACTAGAAATAATTTGAAAATGTTGTTAAATAATATGTTACAATTGCAAACCTTTTTGCTAAAACAATGTACCGAAACGAAAAGTTTATCTATGCCTAATAAAAAAAGAAAAGCTGAAGAAAGCATAGATGAAATAGTAAATACAGAAGATCCAATGGATGAAGAGATTCCTTCGGATACAGAAGACGAAAATGAAGGTAAAAGTATAACTTCAGACGGAAATGTGGAAAATTTTGATAAGAACATATTTAGCAAAAAACTGAAACTCAACAACTATGAAAAAATATTAAATGATAATCACAAATTATATATAGAACATAGAGATTCTGTTATACAAAAATGGAATGAAAAAACGAGGATAGCTAGTGGTAAATTAAATAAAGGTACAAGTGAAACGACTTTAAAACAAATCGAATTCACATTGATTGATAAAGAGAAATTACACAGAAAGAGTCGATTGAAACGTTCAGAATATAAGATTGTTGGCAAGGAAGAAGCAACGGAAGATAATGATGGTAGAAGAATTCAAGAATACGATTCTGAAATTTACGATGATGATGATTTTTATCACCAGCTTCTGAGAGATTTAATTGAATATAAATCGTCTGATATCACTGATCCCATACAACTTAGTAAACAGTGGATACAGTTGCAGAATATGAGACGAAAAATGAAACGAAAAATAGATACAAGAGCTACTAAAGGTAGAAGAATACGATATAATGTACATAATAAATTACTAAACTTTATGGCTCCTATCACTGTAAATGATAGATGGACAGATCACGCAAAAGATGAATTGTACAGTTCTTTATTTGGAAAAATTAAATCGTCAAATGGAGAAGTTGGCCGTTAAGTTTAGAATAATTAACAAAAATGTTAATTTTGTATATTTTAGTCAGAAGTATTTTATAAAATTTATAGAAATTTGATAATGAAATGCAAACAAAAATAACTGTAGTTAATACTATTCAACGAATTGAATAAAAAATAAAATTTGTTCATTGAAATATATTTTAATTTTTTAAAACCTGTTTGATATTGTAAGAATATTGAAAATTTTATACTTATATTTACTTGTTATAATTTTATAATAATATTTACTTGTTATAATTTTATCATACAAAATGTTATTG